TGGGTGGGGCGGGGAGGATGAGAGGGGCGTGCCCTCCGCCTCATCGCTAATGCCCCCTCCTCCCGTTGCTGCGGCAGATGGAGAAGTGCCCGGGAGTGCTGTGTTGGTGTTTGACATCGAGCTGCTGGAGCTCGTGGCCGGCCTGCCGGAGGGGGACATGTTCATATGGAACGGCGAGGTGTCAGCCAACCTCTTTGAAGAAATTGACAAGGACGGCAATGGAGAAGTCCTCCTGGAAGAGGTAACTGACCTTTTTGAAAGGAAGTGGGACCCAAGGAGCTCAGGGAGCCTCACTGGGCCAGGGTACGCATCCGGAATGTGAAGCCTCTCAGAGTGAGGACAGCTGTGCTTTATTGTGATGCTGGTAACCTTCATGCTCATGTACCAAGCACTTGCACACACACAGTCTCTAAGTTGAGCTCACAATTCCTCTTTGAAGAAACCGAGTCCCTGAGAGCTTCAGGGCTTGGCTCCAGGTCACACAGCTCTGGGTTCAGCTCTTCATTCCTGGGTGGTCACCGCAGCCTGCACTGTGCTAAGTGTTTTTCACATATGTTATCTTGCTTGGCCTTCACAACAGCCTTGTAATCATCCCTGTTTTTCAGAAGAAGCAGCTGTGCACAGAGAAGGTAAATGACTTCTCCAAGGTTGCACAGCCATCCAGCGGTTTGTACACATCCCCGTCTGGAGCATCTAGATCCTGTGTTGTTTCTCCTGCACGAGACACCCCTTTGTGGAACTGGGCAATAGAGTCCTCTGTCTTGTCACAGCCGCAGGGAATTCCAGCTCTCCACCTGTTCCATGTCTGCTTATTCAAGGACATGGCTCCAGCCTTCTCCCCTTTCTCTCTTCTGTCATCATTTCCCCAGCTACTGGACCGTTCACATTAGCCCGAGAACATGCTGCTATTTTTCCTCCTCTTAATCCATCTTTCCATTTCTTTTAGGTCTTTGCTCCTTTACAGCAAAAACCTCAAAAGAGGACAGGACAGGTCTGTCCTCCCTGCCTCCAATTCCTTTCCTCCTAATCCATTTCACACCCACTCCTGTTGGGTTTTTATCCCTCCACGCCACTGAACCTGGTCTCACTAAGGCGCTGAGCCTTACTTACTCTTACTTCAGCACAGCTGTCTCCTTTTGGAGACGTCTTCTTTCCCTGGCTTCCACAGCACAGTTTCTCTGTTCCTTCTACCTCACTGGTAGCTCCCTCTGAGGAGTCTTCTTCCGGGGCGCTTCAGGGTGGAGGGCCCCAGGCTAAGTCCTGAACTTGAGCTCTTCTCCCGCTTTACGTCACTCCCTTGGTGGCCTCCTCCGGTCCCATGGCTTTACCATCCTTGTCCTGTGACTTCCAGATGGGCCGCTCCGGGCTCATCTTCTCTCCACTTCACACTCAGGTATCCAGCTGCCCATCTGATATCTTCATTTATTGAACCCCCAATATCCGTGCCCCCGAATTTGCTTCACCCAGAGCCTTCCGCATCTCATTCGACGGCATCGCTTTCCTTCCAGTTGCTCAGGTGAGAGCACTCAGTCATCTCTGACTCCTCTCACAGGCTAGAATAAATCCATCAGGAAATTATTCTAGCTCTATCTTGAAAGTACATCCAGAAGCTGCCCACTTCTCATCACCTCTACTCCATAGCATCTCAGTCCAGTGCCCACCACCTCCCGCTTGGACCTCTACGAAGGTCTTCTTGCTCTCACCCTCGCCCCTCACAGCAGCCAGAGTGATCCTTCTAAAACATGTCAGAGCATGGCCTGCTTCATGTCAGAAGCCTGCAGAAGCCTCCTGTTGGGCTGCATCCTGCAGGCCTGAAAGCCTTGTAGTTGCCCAGCCTTGAGACTGAAGAAAGAGTCTAGAGTCAGCAACAGAGACATCAACAACTTATTGGACAGGGGTATCATACAAGTCTGCAGCAAAAGGTCCTGGAGCTACCCACCCCCCGCCGACTGTGTACGGCAGACAGGAGGCAGGACATAACAGGAATCTTCGCTACCTGGGGGAGAAGGAGGCCACCACTTATAAGGGAATTGACATCAGGTTGGCTTATCAGTTACCAGGGAAACCAGCAGCTGGGGCATGTCCCTCACAGCCCCAGGTTAACGACCATCACGAGGGCAGAGGTTTCCCTTTACTAAACTAGCAGGTGGAGCCATTCTGGCCTAAGGATTAGAACAATCGCTAGCTGGGGCAGGCGGCAAGCATGTTCTTGTGAGTACAGTGTAGGTGAAGCAGAGACTAGTCAAACAGGGGATGTACAAAGACAAGAGAAGAGCCATCCTGAGTGGCCTGACCATACATCCCCCTATTTCCAAAGTCTTTGCAGTGACCCACAAAGGCCTTCCACCACCTGCTCGCCGTAACCTCCTCTCCAACGAGTCTCCCTTTGCTGTCCTGTAAACACACCGGGCATGTGTCCACCCCGGGCCTTTTTACCAGCTGTTCTCAGCTTAGAAGACACTTCCCCTAGATTACTGTTGGGCTTGTTCCCTCACTTCCTTCAAGCCTTTGCACAAGACTCTCTTTAGCATATTAGGGTTTTACCCTGACCACCAAATTGATACTTCAGCCCGTTCCCCTAACTGCACTCTAGATCTTCCTTACTTGGCTCTACTTTTTCATTTTTCTCGAGCATTTTACTTTCTAAGTTAACACGTAGTTTACTTACTTTTTAAATGTTCCTTTTGAATCATGTATCTTGTCCACTAGCATATGCTAGAATTGCAAGGGCAGGATGTTTTGCTTGTTTATTGATATATCTCCAGGGTCTAGGATGGTGCTTAGCACACAGCAGACAATAAGTTTTTATTGTATGAATGAATGAATGAATGAATGAATGAATTCTTAGAGGCGAGGGTGGTTAGGGGATTGGCCTTTGGTGGAAAACTAAGTGTTGATTTGGGGAAAAGGGATAGTTCCAGTGGCTGCTCTGTATTGGCTGCCTGGGACCTAAGGGCTCCTGGAGTCATTTTGGCAGGGGTTTTTTAACCTGCATCTGGAGGAAAAAACCCGGGTCGTGTAGCTCAGAAGATTTTGTCTGTTCTGCTGGCTCAGACTCAAATTACAGCCCCATTGCCCTTGGGCTGCTCTGTTCAGGCTCCAGCTTGGTGTTCTCAGCTGCTGTATCTCATGGTCTGTCCTGCCCCTTTCTCTCCAGTTCTCAGAGTACATTCATGCCCAGGTGGCATCTGGCAAAGGGAAACTTGCCCCTGGATTCGATGCTGAGATGATTGTGAAGAATATGTTCGCCAACCAGGACCGGAATGGAGATGGGAAGGTCATGGCTAAGGAATTTAAACTCAAAGACCAGGAGGCAAAACACGACGAACTCTAAACCTGATATGAGCCACTTGTGTGATGCCAAGCCCCCTGTTGTGGCAGAATGTGCAGTGAGGATGCGAGGGTCTCTCAGAAGGGGAATCGTCAGCAAGTAGTAGGTGGGTCATATAGTACCTGGGACATACATCGGGGTGGGTTGATACACATGGTGAGAATTTTAGGCTGATGCTGGTGATACTAAAAAAATCAGTGCGGGTGCCTTAGTGTGGGTTGTATAGAATATTGAAAATGCTGCGTTGTCAGCAGTTGTTTTGTGAGCCTTCTGGGTAGTTTTGTTATTAAAGGAAAATAGTGTCATACAGAAGTTATAATCCTCGTGGAGGCAACAGAAGAAAACGTGTCTAGGATATTTACATAAAGAGGATTAAAAATGTTTTTAACTTGCTGGTGTTTTAAAATTATTCTCCAGATGGCTAGAAGAGACAGAGGGCATGCCCCAGCAGGATTCCCAGACAGCCCCAGAAAAGTTTTCCCAGTGGCCCGTATGGGCCCTGGTAATGCCCAACCTCTCCCGTACCTCTACTCACACACTCACACAGACACAGACGCACAGACACACAGGTGTGCTCTTCTAGTTAATCATACCCCACCTCACTGTGGTCCTCCTATTGGCTAGGTAACTTGGAGGTTAAAAAGAAAATCAGTGGACCAAACAAAAGGCATCTTGGACCATGAGTAGAGAATTTGATTCTGCATTTGTCACATAAGATTATCTTCTTCACTCCTGCTTATTCCCATCACTCTATCCCGTAGCACCCTCTCTTCTCACCCGGAATCCTTTGATCAGATATAGATACACGTAGGGCTGGTGGCTAAGCCTAGCTCCAGAGTATCTCACTGTGGCCAAGATGGAAATGTCATCCCAACAGGTGAGCATAGACAAAGTGACATATTTCTGCCTCTCATTCGTGTCCTAGAGAGGGAGGCGCCCTAAGGCCTGGGAGCCTTTCTCTGCATAGGAGGAGGACACTGTACCTGCTGGCCTGTCCCCACGTTATGCAGTAACCACCTTGCTGCCTCATGTCCTCTGTTCCCAAGTGGTGGTGGCACTCACCCTGCAGTAACCAATGATTTTCCTTTTGAAACAGCTTTGTTTTACTAATTTAAACTATTTTGTACTGATGTAGCCCTGAGATAGATAGTTCCTGAAAATGCTGTGCACTCATTCAATGGAATAAATGTTGGAAGATGACTTTTTCATAAATAAAATATTGAATTATATCATCAGGTTTTGTGGTGTTTTATTTGAAGTCTCATTTTTCCCATGAGAATACACCATGCCATCAGAATCCCCTTGATAAAAACTCAGCAGGACTGAACTGGAAGAAGTGGAAGATTGCCATACAGTATATAGGGGATGTATCAGTCAGAGTCCTGGCTGCAAACATACCCTCATGTGGGACTTCTGAAGAGAAGCTAATGAAAGTACTCTTTACAGAAGCGTGGGCAGGGCTCAGGGGGCCCAGTAAGGATGTCGAGGTACCCATGACTGCTGTTGGCCAACGAGAGTAGGAAGCTCTTCCACCCCTGGGCCTGAAGGGTCCAGGGGAGCCTGGGCGGGGCTGCCTGGTAGGAGCTGGTGGAGGGATGCAGCCACTCCCAGAGCTGTGGCTGGCAGTGGAGCAGAGTACTGAGGGGGGAAACACCCATCCTCTCTGTCCTGCCACTGGCTCCCATTAGCTGAAGCCAACCCGAAGCCAGAGGGCAAGGAGCTCAGGGGCTGGTGTTCTCAGGGATCAGTGTTTTGGGGTGCAGAGGAAGGTGGAGAATGACCGGTTGGGGTTGGGTTGCGAGCAAATGGACAATAACTGGCACATGTATAGGGAAAAAACTATACATATATGGCTTTTTAAAGAGCAAATGTTCTGGTTTACTCTTTGCAGAAGCAACTTCAGGGACTCTGTGTGCTTTTGGGAGGGGAAGGAGGTGCCCGTGGCCTTCCTGGCTGTTCCCTAACCCTCTTCTACGGTGCACACAGTCACTCAGCCTTTTCATTTAACAGAATTCCTTAAGGGCACTACATACGTTTATGATCTGCTAAACTGAACTGCTCTTTGGAATGCATTTGACCTGTAGCACTTCATTACGCTTATGTATCTTCATGAAGATAAACATCCTGTGCTTGTTCTGTACCCTTTAGATGTCCTGTTTAGATGGTCCTGTTTAGCTCTTTAGATGGTCCTGTTTGAATTTCTTCACTGGCTGTTTTCTATAGTGGTGGAGACAGGTTGGCTGAATAAAAAATAAGTTTCTCTGGGGAAATTAAGGACTGTGGGCCTTAGAGCTTCAAGAATGGAGGGAAACTTTAGCTTGTATTTGTTTTTGTATTTAAACTGCCTACCTGACTGCTGAGCTGGGACACTGGTCTTTTCTGGCCTTCAGACTCGGACTGAAGTCTCGGCTCTTCTTGGGTCTCTGCCCTGCAGGCTTTTGTTGTTCAGCTTTACTGAGGTATAATTAACAAAACTGTAAGACATTTCAAGTGTATGTGATGATTTCACATAAATGTACATTGTGAAAGGATTCCCCCATCTACTTAAATTAACATATACATCACCCATCACCTTTTTTTTGGAGAACATTTAAGTTCTACTCTTAGCAAATTTCAGCTATATGATAGTGTTATCAACTATAGTCACCATGTTATACATCAGACCCACAGACCTTATTTATCCTATAGCTGAAAGTTTGTATCCTTTTTTGTATTCCCCCCCCCCTCTAGGCCCTGGTAACCACTTTTTTACTGTTCCTATGACTTCAACTTATTTTTTGATTCCACATATAAGTGATACCATGCAGTATTTATCTTTCTGAACCTTTGGCTTATTGAGTGCTGCCTGGCACTTCCATTTTTTCCGTTGCTAAGGGAACGTATGCATTTTGTTAGGGAAGTTGGCGCGACTGCAAGATTATACATAAGCACTTTAGTATCTTAGGTTTCTAGGAACAGAGCTGCTTTCTTTTTTTTTTTTTTTTTTGCGGTATGCAGGCCTCTCACTGTTGTGGCCTCTCCCGTTGCGGAGCACAGGCTCCGGATGCGCAGGCTCAGCGGCCATGGCTCACGGGCCTAGCCGCTCCGCGGCATGTGGGATCTTCCCAGACCGGGGCACGAACCCGTGTCCCCTGCATTGGCAGGTGGACTCTCAACCACTGTGCCATCAGGGAAGCCCAGAGCTGCTTTCTTTTGAAGGCTTCTTCCCTTGGATATCTTAGGGTCCGGAGTCTTTTTATAAAATAAGAATACTGCTCTCAATTATTTATTGCTAGTTGCGGATATTATTAAAATAGCGTTTGATTCTGTGTGGTCATCCTTAATGTTGGAATTTCAATAGGTCAGGGGAATTCCTTCCAGCTTACAGTGGCCATATTTAAATCTCATTGAAATGCAGACAACATCCAGATTTATAGTTCCCAAAATTTCCCCTCTGAGCTCTAATCTGCCTATGGTATCTTCTCCTGTATATCTCACAGGCATCTCAAACTGTGTGTTCAAAGTAGAATGTATATTCCCACTCCCTTCCCGGCACCTTCCATCCAAGCCTGTTCTCTCTCATTCTTCTCTTGTACCCATTCGTTCAAACCAGACACCTGGGGTCACCCTATTCTCTCACCCCACATGTTTAATCCAACAGCAAGTTTTGCCATTTCTGAACTGGTAATGGCTAGAAGGGGCTGTAGAGACTGCTCTCATGGCTTTCATTTTAAAGGGAGGTGACTGACGTATAGTCTTAGTAAAGGACTGATCAATGACTAGAATGCAGGTCATAACTTCAGTATTCTTTACACTTACACCATGCAGTGTGCTTATTTGTGGAAGCATATTATAAATCCTTTGGAAAATAGCCAATATGGCAAGCTCTAATAGCAAATACAGGAGTAAAGAGCTCTCATTAGATAAGGGATTCCCAACTTTTTCTATGTGAAAAAGTCCTCCAGGTAATTGATACTCCCATGCCATGCTATCTGCTTTAAAGCAAGAAACTTGGTTTTGAGTTCCATTCTGGAAATACCCAAGCAGGGAACAGTCCACTTTGTGCCACTGAGTACTTTGTTTCACTGTTTATTATAAAAAGGAGAAGTAGTGATGGAAGATAAGGATGGGCTGCAGGAAAAAGGTTTGCATCACAAGACCTTGCCTCCCTACCATATTGGACTGGACTAGAGATTACTGACCACACTAGATGTCCAGAACCAGCTGGATCATGCTTTGTCTGTAACACAGCTCACATGCTAAGAAAACCAATTAGTTGCTCATAGACTCTGCAGTTCAAGGGCTAGAAGTCAGGGTCAAATTTATCACAATGGTAGGCTTCCCTGGTGGCGCAGTGGTTAAGAATCCGCCTGCCAATGCAGGGGACATGGGTTCAAGCCCTGGTCTGAGAAGATCCCACATGCCGTGGAGCAACAAAGCCCGTGCGCCACAACTACTGAGCCTGCGCTCTACAGCCCATGAGCCACAACTACTGAAGCCTGCACTCCTAGAGTCCGTGCTCCACAACAAGAGAAGCCACCGCAATGAGAAGCCCGCGCACCGCAACAAAGGGTAGCCCCTGCTCATCGCAACTAGAGAAAGCCCGCACGCAGCAACGAAGATCCAACACAGCCAAAAATAAATAAATAAAATAAATAAATTTATTTTAAAAAAATTTATCACAATGGCAAGTCTAAGCCTTGTGTAAACCATTATGGGGCAGCCAAAACTCAGAATGGGAAGTCAGAATGCACAGAGGAATGTCAGTTCCTAACCCTGAAGTACTCTGTTTTAGTCATCACGAGACCCAGCTCTATTTTGTTTTCTGCCTGTGGCTGTTTCTGAAACGCTTAGACTTTCAATATAGTACTTCTTTTACTAATATTTTCAATGGGGGAAAACAATTTTCCTAGGCCCCATTATTTTCTGAAGGACAGATTAAATTTTCTCTGCAAAAACTTTTTAGTTTTATAGTGGGTAAATCTGAAAATAATCTAAATAGCCACTATGACAAGGACATTAGGATTCATACATCACACACAAAAACATGGCAGGTTTTGTTGAATGAATAATAATAGTCTTGACAGAGTTAAAAAGGCTTTTCATTTCATTTTTATCATCAGTGCTTCAATATAGAACATTTTATAATGATTAGTGGCATGTAGATACCAATAGATTTTTTTCAAACATCAAATGCCAATATTTTTTGGTAAATATCGATTTTCACCAAACAAAATAACCAAACATAACACAATTTTAGGAGATGGTTAATACCATCAGCATAATTCACCCAAATTATAAAAATGACAACACTTAAAATCATGCACATTATTTCACCATTTCATAAAACTTTTTAAACGTCTACAAACTTTCCCAATGTAAAAAGACTTCTCAAAAATGTCATAATAACATTAAGCTACAAAATTCACTATGGAAATGTAGGGAGTTATTCTTCAAATTTTTGCTCTAAGTCTTTTTTTTTAATCTGTTAAAAAATATAGTGAGGAGTGTGTTGAGAGAGATGGAGAAAAAGGAGCCTCCAGTTGATGGATTCAATAAATCTGAAAATACTTCAGTAATATAGAGGAAAAACTTCAAGATCAAGAATATATTATAAATAAAATCTTTTAACAAGATGAACAGATGAGCAGCTCTTGCATCAATTGTACCCACAGGTGAGAGGTCTTCTTGAAGAATGCTTGTTTATAGAATCTTCTGTAAGATAGAGTTGGCTACATCCAATGATTCATCTTTTACTAGAACAATATCATAACAGTCCATGTACTTTTCTAAAAGCTCATCCACCTAATCAACAGCCAAAAAAATCACAAAAATTAAATTAATATGCAGGGGGGAGAAGTAAATAATCTCAGTATAAATCTCACTGCTATGTTAAATCTTTGGGGTAAAATGTTGTAAATTAACTTGCTTTCATAAAACCTTTGAAATGAAGAAATACTTTCAAAATTTTAAAACTCATTGACATAGGAAGTTTCCCATATGGTGGCTTTTCTTCTGAAATGATTTCTCTCTAGCCCAGTGGTTCTCAACTGGGGAGACAGTGCCCAAGGAACATTTGGCAATGTCTAGAGACATTTTTGATTCTCAACTAGGGAATGATATGGGCTTCTAGTGGGGAGAGGCCGGAGACGCCTCATTTAGAATATACACTCTCCCTCCCCTATAGCATGCATATGTGCATACCAACTCCTTTCATCATCACCAAAGTAAAGGGATAAAGAGAAATCAAAATGTCTCTAAAATAACTGGGGCTTCCCTGGTGGTGCAGTGGTTAAGAATCCACCTGCCAACGCAGGGGACACGGTTTTGGGCCCTGGTCTGGGAGGATCCCACATGCCGCGGAGCAACTAGGTCCGTGAGCCATAACTACTGAGCCTGCGAGCCACAACTACTGAGCCTACGTGCCATGGCTGCTGAAGTCTGCGTGCCTGGAGCCTGTACTCCACAAGAGAAGCCATTGCAATGAGAGGCCCGTGCAGTGCAATGGGGCGTGGCCCCCGCTCGCCGAACTAGAGGGCCTGTGCGCAGCAACGAGGGCCCAGCGCAGCCAAAAATAAATAAATAAATAAATTTAAAAAAGAAAAAGTCTCTAAAATAAGTACTTTCTCAGGCACCTTTGGTAACAGTTGTCTATAAAGTTTTATCCTAATTTTTTTTCCTAAAGAAAATTAAATGACATCTATGTACTTACTCTATCATTTAGATATCCAATTTTCAGAATGTGTTCAACATTGGCTACTCCATCTGCCATTTTTAAGTCCCCTTGGGAGTCTCCCAGAAGAATTATGTTGCTATTGTTTTTTAGTTGATTGAAATATTCCGTATTCTTCAAGGATCCATCATGTTTGTTAAACACATGAATTAGTTCTCCTTTAAATCCTCTGAGCAGCCCCTGTTAAAAATATAAATCCTCTGAAACAATAGGTTCTGCAAGTTCTACTTGTTGTATTTTTACATTCATGATAGGTAAGGAGGGCTCTGAGAAGTTAATGACTTCCTAGAGACCACTTTAAATGCACTGAAAACCACTGAAAAACCATTGAAAACCACTGAAAGCACAATGCTTTGAAAACCCAATTTTTACTTTTCATTTGTTTCCCAACCAAAAGGTCTCATTTTATGTATGTCATAATATATTGTCTTTCTTAGAACTCGTTCAAATAATGTCAGTTCTAATTCACTTTTTTTCCCCATCTATGGATATTAAGTGTTCAGAATTGCTGCATTAAATTACTTTAAAAAAAGTTTTACTAATTTTATTATTAGTCTGCAGCTTCAGAAACAGAAGAAGGGTATATTATTATTATTATTTTTTGGTATATTATTTTTAGAACATGGATATAGATATAACCCTGGGAGAGATGATGATTTCCAGAGCAGGCCTATCAACTTGGCCTAATTTAATGAATATACATTAAATAATAAATTAAAATGCATTTACACGATTAAAATATTTTCTGATACTAAAATTAATCATGAAGAATGATTTGCTATTCTTACATTGTCATCAAAATCCATGAAGTTGGACACTACTTTGACATTTGGATAATAAACACCAGCTTGACGGATAACCTCCTCTAGTATATCACCGATACCAGCTGAGAATATGAACACAGGAATACTGTATTGTTGCAGCTTATCAAAGAAATTCTCATATCCTTCCCTGTAAGATGGAGGTAAGAAGTGAGTGTTAAAGAGCAAGGTATATCTCCTTTTCACCTAGAAGTTATAAAAGCTAAATATTTCTACTTGATTCTATGGCTCATTTATATTCTCATTTCAAAATACTGCCCAAGAGGGCTGTTACTGTTGTCTATGACACTACTGCAAGTTTTTCAAACTGGTTAGCTTTTTATCCTCCTTTCAATAAATTCTAACAGTACAAATTAGATGATTTTAGACTTGCACTGAATATGGATATAAACCTACAGTTCAGAATGTATATCATTTTACAGCAAATAACTGAAGCACACCTTGAAAAACCCACAAAAGGTGAGCTGGAAGACCTGCTTGTCATCTTGCTCATCTACTCCTTATTATAAGAAAAGCAGAGTGGTGTATTCTCTTTACATCTGGCCTCTCTCTTACCTAAGATGCGGCAGCCATAGGTAATGTCTTGATCTTAAAATCAAAACTCATTTTACTCTTAATGGACTATAGGTTAAGCTGCCTACAAAGGAATGAAATACTTACTAGCTGTCCTCACACTCTTTCTGACAATTTAATGCTTTGCTCCTTAGAAGCAGAATACCTTAAAATGTAGCATCATCAAAAAAAAAAAAAAGAAAAAAAGAAATATCATCACATTCACCCAATGAATTGAAAAATTTAAGAGGTGGTAAACAGTACTGAAAATAAGCTTAAAAACGTTTATAGGGCTTCCCTGGTGGCACAGTGGTTGAGAGTCCACCTGCCGATGCAGGGGACGCGGGTTCGTGCCCCGGTCTGGGAAGATCCCACATGCCGCAGAGCGGCTGGGCCAGTGAGCCATGGCCACTGAGCCTGCGCGTCTGGAGCCTGTGCTCTGCAACGGGGAGGCCGCAACAGTGAGAGGCCCGCGTACCACAAAAAAAAAAAAAAAAAAGTTTATATAATTCATATATTACAGATATTTTTATTACCTGCTAAAACATATTCGCCTTTCCTAGAGATAGTAGTTTTCAAGGGGAGTTTGAGAATTCAGAAGGCAGATCATGTAACAGAAACAGACTTATGAGCTTAAAATCCTTTTCAAGTTGATTTATAAACATTCCTTTCATATTTCATGTCTTTCAAAGATATTTTGCTAAAATATTTCAAAATGGTCTTGGTTTCAAAAATTTTTAAGTTAGTCTTGAAATTATCTAATATGTCATTCTACATTCCTTATCTTACCACTGTTTTATGATAGGTGGCATATTTTGGATATGTTTTTATATGTGATATTTTATAGATTATTTTAATAAAAAAACACACTTGAATACATATATAATAACAGTTCAAGTCCGTAGACAATTAACAACAACAAAAAAACACCCGAGAAACTTACTTGAGCATAATGTCAGATTCTTCCACAATTTCTTTAAGTTTGGCTTTTGGTAAAGCCTGTTCAACAAGCAAACCATGTGATTTAGTATACCTGGAAAGTATAAAGAGAATATCAATTATCAAAGAAAAAGAGAATATCAATTAAAGCAAATTAAGACTATTATCTTTATTAAAAAGCATTCTTCAGTATGAGAAAATGAGTATTTCATTCACTGTAATTTTGAATTTAAATTTTAGAGATTTAAATTCATCACTAATGAATGTTATACCCCACGTGTCTCGAAATGTGATATGCATGTTCTTACTTTATTTCCCAGTTCTCAAAGTCTGGTTTAATTTAAATGTGTTAATAAGATAATGAAAGGATACAAGGTATAACTCTTTCCTCAGTCTACAGATAAAACTGAATTGAAGCTAGGGAGGCACAATCATTTCTCTGATTGCAGTGAGAATTAGAGCTAAGCCATTTTTTTCCCACCTGTTTGTGGTCTGAATTTTCATAAAGAGCCAAAGTACTGAAGATGTTGCCTAGTGAGCCAGAGAAAATTCTTGCTATGGAAATTTTTATATATAGGTGCTTTGTAATTACATAAAACCACCTATAATTATAGCATCTCAGTATAATAGGCCTTTAGAACCTCTCTAGCTGATATCTAAAAATCCACCTATAATATTCCTAAGTGACCCTCCTCTCTGAGTCAGCTCCCATCATGTTAGTGAGCTCCTTCTCCCAGGGAAGTTATTCCATTGCTAGAAAATTCTAATTGCTGGACAGTCCTTTCTTTCATCGTGTTGAAATCAGTTGGCTTAAGCCTACCAAGTCTAGTTCTGTTTCGAGAGGCATGTAGAATAAGTCTAACCTCTTTTCAGTGTTTCATACCATAAACACTAATTAAGTGTGCAACGTATTCAGGTTAGGTAATGGGATAATGAAAACCAGTAACATCATTCCTAGTCTCGTGAGACTAAAACCACAAGTTGTTGCTTCTCAAATCAAAGCATCCTCTCTATTCCTTGAAATCTTCCTCAAATGGGATGGCTCCAATTCCTGTGATTATCTTAGTGGACTCCTTTGACACAGACTAAGTTTGTCAACATTTCTCTTAATAGCATTCTCCCAGGACTCAACACAATGCTTCCACTGTGGTCTGCTTGGAATGCTGCATTTTGATTAATGCGACCAACATCAGAGGCTCATTTCTCAGTAACTATGTCACCTGCTGGCTCCAACTAAGTTCAGAGTCAACTTAAATCCTAATTCTTTTTCTTTATACATTCAGCCACATCTGTCCATATACTTAAAAATTTTTTCTTGTTTTTAATTTAAGGCTTGAGTGCAGGATTTAAATTTATTCCCACTGATCTTCATATTAACAAAACAAATTCTAGACTGTTGCAGTGATTAGAGAATTCGAGTTCATTTTGTCATATTTAATCACTGCTCTAACTCACTGGATAATCTATGAATCTATTTATATACAGTACAGGGGAAAACCATTAGTTGTAACTGTAATGTTATTTTATATTTTTAAACCTCCCATCACCCAGTACACACTTACCACTCTACTATATAAGGGTACTTCTCTTCTACAGTAAGAACAGGATCAATTTCAATAGCATAATACTTTTCCTTTAGTTGCAGTAACTAGAAATAAGTGAACAACAATCATTAAGACTACAGAGTTGTCATTAAGCTGCTTAGTTTTACAGAAAGCAAAACAATGTAAGCCAAGTATTTTCCACAAACTGCTCTATATGGTAAAGATTAGATCATGCCTAGCTAATGCATAGATCCACTGAAGACACCTTTGTTGGTCTTAGTTTACATGTAACTAAATATACCTGCAAAAAGTTACCTTGCTTTTTTGGGGGCTTCTCTGGTGGCACAGTGGTTGAGAATCTGCCTGCCAATGCAGGGGACACGGGTTTGAGCCCTGGTCTGGGAAGATCCCACATATCGCGGAGCAACTAAGCCTGTGCGCCACAACTACTGAGCCCGTGTGCCACAGCTACTTAAGTCCATGTGCCTAGAGCCTGTGCTCTGCAACAAGAGAAGCCACCTCAATGAGAAGCCCGCGCACCGCAACAAAGAGTAGCCCCTGCTCGCCAGAACTAGAGAAAACCTGTGTGCAGCAGCTAAGACCCAACATAGACAAAAATAAATAAATAAAATAAATAATAATTTAAAAAAAGTTACCTTGCTTTTTTAAAGTACTTTCACGTCAGTAATTGAGTGAAACCAGTAATCAAATTATCACTACCAAAAAACTCTTGTTCTCCTATGAAAGTGTTCAATTTGATTCATATTTGGAGTCTTATTTCTTAAAATAGACACAGATACACACTTACTCAAGGAAGTAGAGAACTGAGCCAGTTTCCTGATCAATTTAAGGGGACAAAATACATAAAACCACAGTACTTTTTTTTGGCTGCAAGGCTTGTGGGATCTTAGTTCCCCGACCAGAGATCGAACCTGTGCCCCCTGCATTGGAAGCTCGGAATCCCAACCACTGGATGGCCAGGGAATTCCCATCACAGTATTTTTGTTTTAATTCTCCAGTTAATGTAAGGACACCAGAATATTTTGGTAATCTATTAAAAGTTTCTCATGTAAGTTTTATTGTTATTGTTAAAAAGTTACTGTTAATTTTTCCATTAAAATAAGTTGGGAGCATATAGTCCATACAATAAACCTAAGATCTGTGAGTGTTTACTATGCGCCAGATATGGCTATAAGCACTTTGCAACCATTCTTGTTTGTATGAATGAACCTGAAAAAACTCTCAGCAAAAAGGGTAATGAAGTTTTTGAGTAACTCTGGATTATAGTTAGTGTTTACCTTTTCTCGACATTCATCTGTAATTAGCTTACAGTTGTCAATGACATCTAAAGAAAGAAAGCAAACTAGGCATTAAAAAAAATACTCTGAACTATATTCAATATCCTGGGAAAAACCATAATGGAAAATAATATAAAAAGGAATGTATATATATGTATAACAGAGTCACTTTGCTGTACAACAGAAATTAACTAAACATTGTAAATCAACTATACTTCAATTAAAAAATAAATTTAAAAAAAGAAAAGAAATACTCTATGCTACTAGTTCTATAAATTACTTATTACTTTTAACTTAAATGCCAAGTCAAGTAGCATGGTCATTACAACTTTTGGTGTTAGTGCTGTAATTCACATGGCATTCCTAGAGAATCTAATGGTTTTAAAATCTAAACCTTGGATCTAAAGCTTTTTTCCTACATTTGGGATTACTTGATTATAAATTCTCCAGAGAGGAATTACTGGGCCAAAAGGTACAATTTTTAGTAGTTTTTAAAAATAAATTATCAATGATTTGTCAAATTACACATGTTCCAACAGTTAGTGAGAGGGCTTATATAAGGTTAAAGAGTATTATTTTAAAAACTCACTGCCAAGTTTGGAAACCAAAAAAGGTATATTATCCTAACAACAGATTTTAACTGGATATTTATTTAGTAACTCACTCTTTTACTTAGTTTATCAATGACACAAAAATTTAGTAACATTCCTAGAAAACACAAAGCATTTGATAAATCTGTTTCTTTAGGCTAATTCAAAGTTTAAATTCATTTAAATATTTCCTGAGTAGACCACATTTGGGAGAAAAATTTCAGAAGTCTTCATTCCTCTTGCAACCAAAACCATACAGGAAAATAGCCATTTATGTAACATGGGGAAAACAAATCCTAAAAATATAATAATAAAATAATAAGGCTCCCTCACTTTCAATGTCCATAAAGAAGAAAAAACCCCAAGCAATCTCATAGATAATACAGGTAGAAGAGGAACTTGAAATAATGATTAATTTCATAAATTTGTTTATGAATGCCACACTTACTATGACATGATGGGCATCTTTTCCCTCTGTAGGAAAATCGACTCAGTGTCATATCAAAGTCTGTTATTATCTGTAAGAAAAGGGAAAAAGGCATTATGAAATTACAGCCACCAAGGCCAGACACTTAATGCACATTTCCTAGAGGCATAAGACTGTGTTCCGTCCCTGCCCTCCACCATAGGTTATTTGGTCTACATTGAGATTTCTAATGCAGTTCATATATCAAGTCCTGAGAATTTCCATAACTACAAGGTGAACCTTAAGTGCCCCAGCACTGTCGCCAAATAAAATCTGACTAATTGGTATAGGAATTTGCACTCACAGGTAATATGGTTACTATTCCCGACAGCAATAAAACATTGCACAATTTCAACCTACTTGGTCAACGTACAAAAATGCAGTGGAAGCAAACTATATGAAGCTTTTCGTTATTGAAACTGTTACATTCTTGAGTTAACTTGTCTATTTAGGTAAACTCTACCAATGAATGAATGATACGTAGCAACAGTTTACCAACTCTTGAAACTTAGGAGACTGGGCTAAATATTTTTTCAGAAATGTTTAAAAAAAAGAATAAGTTTTTACTGAATATCCAGACTGTTGATTTAATTTACACATAAAACATTCCTTTAAAAAAAAAGGAAAGAATTAAAAAAAAGTTATCTATCTCCTAATACAGTTACATTTTACTTTGAACTACTATGATTTATTTTATTTAAAAAATTTTTTTGGCTGCGGTGGGTCTTCGTTGCTGCACGCAGGCTTTCTCTAGTTGCAGCACATGGGATACTCTTAATTGAGGTGCGTGGCCTCCTCATTGCGGTGACTTCTCTTGTTGTGTAGCATGGGCTCTAGGGCGTGCAGACTTGAGTAGTTGCGGTGCGCGGGCTCAGTAGTTGTGGCGCACAGGCTTAGCTGCTCTGCAGCATGTGGGATCTTCCCAGACCAGAGCTCGAACCTGTGTCCCCTGCATTGGCAGGCAGATTCTTAACCACTGAGCCACGAGGAAAGTCCTGAACTACTATGATTAATTAAATTAAAAGAACAACTTAAAACTGTACACATTTTAAAGAATATTATATTAATATTAATATTTTACTTAAGATGGTTTAATACTTATGCACAGCACTAGTTAGCTTGGCACTTAATATTAAAGAAAAGCTAAATTTATCTCAAGGCTACTAATTTTGTTTGTTTCCAGTGGGTCATTCTGAGTATTTTAGACCAATTCTAGATATATCTCTTAGATTTTACATTCCAAAAGGATGGGTGAAGCTTGCTATCTAAACTTTCTTTACTTAGACTGTAACAACACATAGGATGAATAAGTCTGCTTGAACATGAAAAATAGAGGTTTAATACTTAAGGCTTCTTGATAATTATTCACCTGAAGTTTGGCAGCTCCTCCTTTGATAAGACCACAGATAATTTCTTCTACTCTTGTAGGATTCTTGATGTGAACTGAATTTTTCTGGAATTCTGGCATCTAAAAATCAAAGAAATTAATTAACTATTTTTAATTCCTTTTTCCCCAGGTTCCTTTGATACTAAGCAGAATAATATAAAAAGCTTATATTCTTTAAAGATGTAAAAATGTTGGGGCATTATTTTTAAAAAAGCAAACCACCACATCAAGTTGCCATTTATTTATACAAAAAATTTTAAAGCACATCAGTAGTTTCCATCTAGAAGATTAAGGCAAAACTACATTTGTAATACATTATCAGAAAATGCAATTTTTCTAATTATAAAAGTCATGCATGTTTACCACAGAAAAAAACCGAAGTATAAAGAAGAAATAAAAATTGCCTGTAATTCTACTGCCCAAAGATAAACAAGTAAACATTTAAATCAATTTTCCATTATTTTCATTTTTATGATTGCAATCATGCATGTATATGCACATAACTTATCTCATTCTCATTACACACTTTTGCACCTGGCCTTTTTTTTTTTTTAAGTAAATACCTTAGTTTTAACAGTACTTTAAAAAAAAATGCATTCTTTTTTTAAAAAATTTATTTATTTTTGGCTGTGTTGGGTCTTCGTTGCTGTGTGCGGGCTTTCTCTAGTTGAGGTGAGTGGGGGCTACTCATCAATGTGGTGCACGGAATTCTCATTGCGGTGGCTTCTCTTGTTGCAGAGCACGGGCTCTAGGCACGCAGGCTTCAGTAGTTGTGGCACGTGGGCTCAGTACTGTGGCTTGCGGGCTCTAGAGCGCAGGCTCAGTAGTTGTGGCGCACAGGCTTAGTTTGCTCCGCAGCATGTGGGAATCTCCCTGGACCAGGGCTTGAACCCGTGTCCCCTGCACTGGCAGGCGGATTCTTAACAACCAGGGAAGTCCTTGCATCTGGCTTTTTGAAATTAATATTAATGTATTTAATTTGAAAAGTTGCTTCAAGATCTTTGCTTCTTTATTGTACTATATCTCCCAAAACTTCATTGTTCTTGGCATAAATTTTACAATGGATTTATTTCAAGTTAAGACCCTACTAGGTATTAGACCACCTGGGCTTAGAAGCTGCCACTAGGCTGGTTTATGCAGGCTTTAGTTTTGCTCAACAATTTAATGTTATATAAATATTGTTTCTCTTTTCTACCATATCACAGATATAATGAAATTGATCAGAGTTTGATCAGAGTAAAATCAGCACCAGCACAGTGCTCTTACAGCTGTACAAGAAGACTGGGGGAAGGAAACTATGAATCATTTAATAGCTCACAGTATAAAAAGAAAATGAACCTCAAATCAAGATTCTATAGTAGTTTGTATCAGATAATATTTATTTACTTTATATCCTATTATTATGGGTGAGTTATCACCAATATTAACATATTTCATGTGTGTTATGGACACAGTTATAAAAAATTCCCCAGACCTTGTATCTCTGCTACAAGACAGTCTGACCAGTTAAGTCTATTAGGTCCCATGTTGTCACTACATAATGGACAAAATTAGAAAATCAGAAAAAAGCTAAAATGTTTTCCTAAGACTGGAGGATGAATACAGAGTGTACAGGAAAGAGAAGTGGGAACATTAAATTTTTCTTCATGAATGAAAGACCTGGACTTATAATACACTTAATTTTAAAAAGCCGTATTTAAATAGGATAGGATAACCTGCAATGCAACTAACCTTCATACAGTGATCTTTTTAATTTAAATGGACTTTAAGGTGTTTCAAAAGAATAAAGAAGGTTATTTAAATCATCTAAATAAATCACTATTTTATTGTGATTTTTTAACAGATGAGAAAAACCAATAAGCATTTGTCCCTACATTCCTTTTTTTCATTCATTAATATCCATTCACTTGTTTTATAAATACTTACCATGTGTCTACTTTGTGTCAGACACAAGAAGCTAGAGATATGATGACATGATGCTTATACCGTTTTCTTGTTGAGTTTTAGGAATCTGCTGTTTTGGAATATCACTTCTGTTGTTCCCTTACAAATACCTTAGCTAGTAAATGATCCCCTAACTAAATTCTGCTCTTACTTCTGCCTTAACTGGCAGATGCATAACAACCAGCATATGCTTGATTCGATAACTAACCCGTTAATGAAAGCAATAGAGGGTATATGTCACCTACTATATCTTCGCCAAGAAAATTAGACATTTTGTTTCAGTGTGTCGATACTGAGGAAGATGTCCTGCCTCAAGCAAGTCACATATTACAATACATTTCCTTTTTTTTTTTTTTTTTTTTTTTTTGGGGTACCCGGGCCCCTCCCTGTTTGGGCCTCTCCCCTTTGGGGGCACAG